TCGAGCTTTCTGTATCCGAGCTGAGATTTCGTCAGTCACCAGACCGTCAGCACTGATGAGACTCCCAAGATAAGTGAAGTGATCAACACGCCCGACTACTTCACTCCCTATCACTAGTTCAGGTGCCAATGCAACCCAGTCTTGAAGCAACATTTTGCATTTCGAGGGGGAAAACCGCATCCCGAACATGCTCGCATTGTTGCTTATGGTAGTCAGAAGACTCTGCATTTTGTCAGCGTCTTCACCGAATAGAACTATGTCATCGGCATATTCTAGATCAGTAAGCGACTTTCCTGGTAGAAGGTCAACCCCTGAAAAATCTGACGAGCTTAATGTTAACTCTAAGAGGATGTCTACGACAAAGTTGAACAAGAATGGAGAGAGTGGGCAGCCCTGACGGACACCACTTGATGTAGAGAATTCAGATGACAGTTCGCCATATGCTCTCACCCGACCAGTGGTGTTCGAGTAGAGTGCTTGTATAAGGTTAATGTACTTCTTTGGTACACCTTTCAATGACAGACACTGCCACAGAACCTCACGATCCACTGAGTCGAATGCCGCCTTAAGGTCCAGGAACACGACTATTGTCGGACGTCTAAATGTGTGTCTGTGTTCCAGGACCTGTCGTAGTGTGAAGATGTGGTCTATACAACCACGTCCAGGTCGAAAACCAGCCTGGTTTTCTCGAGTCTGCTCTTCGCGAGCTCTAGTTAGACGTCTAAGTATAATCGAGGCTAACAATTTAGAAACTATATTAGTTAAACTTATTCCCCTGTGATTGTCACAAGAGGACTTCTGTCCTTTCTTGTAGATTGGGACAATTAGCGACTGAGACCAGTCAGATGGGATTACGTCCATTTCCCAGATTCTACCTAGGATCTCAGTCAGTCTAACCGTTAAAACTGGACCACCATCCTTAAACATCTCAGGGGTAAGCCTGTCGGGACCTGCCGCTCTACCTCCCCTTAGATTTCCTATAGCTTTCTCAACTTCATGTAAACTGGGAGGACTTAAATCGATTTGCCATTCAGGATGACTGGAGATCGTGGGCAACCGAAGTGTGGCTGAAGGCCAGTTGAACTGATCCCTAAAGTGTTCTGCCCATCGGTCCAGCCTCCTAGATTGAAAATGGATAATAAGACCATCCTTTTCCGAGATAGTCTCACTTACATTCGGGTTCCTAATACCGGTTTCTTTGATAAGGCGGAAAAGTTGTCTAGTGTTGCCCATCGCCGCTGCCTTTTCCATCGCTTTTGCTTTCGCCACCCACCACTGTTCACGGTCGTTACGTAGGCTTTTTATAAGTCTGCGCCTAAGTTGAGTACGCTCTTCATCATGTTCAGAGTCAGGTGGGATGCGTTTTCGTGCATCCATCAGTTCGGTGGATGTGACTGAAATCCACGGCTTCATCCTAGCCTTATGGTTTACCTTGCTAGCAGATGTCACTGCTGTTTCCACAGCCTTCTTTATATCATTCCAACCTGACTCCGGATGGGAATCACTTGCATGATCGCCCAACTGTTTTTCTAGTTCCTCCTGAAATATTTTCTTAGCTTGATTATCATCAAGTAAAGCCCTAAGAGGCTTCCTTACGGTGTCTTTCCTACGCCCAGCAAGCCTCAAACAAATACGTGCTCGCACTAGGGCATGATCTGAATCTAAACATGTGCCCCAGAACGAGCGACAGTCCTCTATCGAACCCCTCCATCGGTGGCTGATGGCGATATGATCTAGTTGTGTCCAACGTTGAGACGACTTCGGGGGTCGCCAGGTCAAAAGGTGTTTTTCCTTATGCTTAAAATTAGTGTTTGCTAGAAATAGTTGGTTATCTGAGCACAGTTGCAACAGACGGTCGCCATTGTCTGTTCTTTGAGCCGCGAGACCGTAACATCCACCTAGGTGTCTTTCATTTTCACTTAGTCTACCTACTTGTGCATTGAAGTCACCAGCCATTATAACTATATCAGAGCGCTTAACTTTTTGGAGGAGGTCCGAAAGCTTTCTGTAAAACTCATCTTTCACATCATCTGGGCTGCAGTCAGTGGGGGCGTATGCTGATATGACGAAGAGGCAACGGCGAGTGTCCCTATCTTTCCGAGTCCTTACTGTCCCGTTCAGTCGGACGGCGCACAAGCGACTATCTACAGGGATCCAGTCAAGGAGAGATTGTTCTGCCCTACGACTCAATGCTATACCTACACCGGCGAGGCCCCTAGAAGCAGCATCAGGGCTACCGGATACACGAAGTGTAAATCGAGCTGCTTCTTTATCTTGACATGGTGAGGTCAAATGAGTGATGCTACTCGGATCCTGTATGCGCGTTTCCGAGACGCAGCACACATCGATGGAACGAGATTCTAAAGTCCTAGCTAATGATGCCTGTTGCCCTATTTGACACAATGTCCGTACATTGAATGCTCCAACATGTAGTTTGGAACGGGGTTTAAGGAGACCAGGAACGACGTTTCGCAAACTCGCATCGTTTGCATTAGCTGTGCACTGTAATAAATGAATGTGAGAAGAGTTAGTTGTGGAGATAAGAGAGGTATTAGGGAATGTAGGAAGGATTTGATTTTGAACAATTTTGTCTCGTGTGCCATTGCGGGTATGAGGGCGGTTATCACTTCCCGGCTGCCCACACCGTGGAAGGTTGTTTCTTGACGAACCTGAAAAGGAAGATGGATTAGTGTTGGTGCGTGACCGCAGAGTCCAAGGGACAACTGCTTCAGGCCGGTCACGCACGGCCTTTTTATGAGAGGTATTTAGAGGATTAGCTCCGTTCTTAAAGGCCCTTAGTGGGCACCCTTACCCAAGGAGACGGAAATCCGTGAGGTAGGGGAGGTGTGACATTTTTAGGGCCGACCTTTTCTAACCCTTCCTTCCTTGTGAGAAGGCAGCATCGCTGCAGATGCTGGTTGTCCGAGGGAAACACCTTACTGCTGTCACACCCCTCTGCAGTCAGCAGTACGACTTCGCCCTCAGACCTTGGGTAGCTGCTTTTAGTCTCATCGTTCTCCAATCGACCTGCCTGGCATGGTAGGACCTGCAGGAACATGTGTTCCAGCCAGTATAGCTCGGTTGGGTCATCACGATAGGCAAGCCCGACCACCACGTCAAGGTAGCAGCTTCGGTCGGGACATGTTTAGTATTAAAGGACTTAGAACGCTTTGAAGTGAATATGTAAGTTTAGAAACTTACACTTTGACTTCTGGTATGACTAGTTAAAGTAAATGTATTTCATCTTGTCTCGATTCATAGGATATTGATTACAGTATTTCAACAGAGATCGAAATCAAAGCAACAATAAATGAACATGAATTTATTTTGCTTTACTTTAAAAGTTCAACAAATTAAAACTGTAGTGAAGGAGAACACAGGTGAGGGCAACCGAATTGTATTTAACGAAAATTACATAGTTAATTGATAAAATAGGAAAACCATATCGTAAACGGTTAATTTGCAAACATCAATCCATCATCAATCCATTGTCTGACATTTCACTGTCCATGTGTTTCATACAAATTCCATTGTGTTCCCACTCTTCCTTTCTTGATCTTCCCCCATCTTCTACTGCCAGACATTACGTTTTCACACGCGTCATATACTACTTATAAGTAGCGCGCACCACATAACTACTATTTTTTTTACAGATTTATTCATCATTTACAAATGAAACGATAGGTGATTTGAAGTGTTTACAATGAGTGATTGGACATGGGATGCAATATGATTTGATGCCAGGGATTTTGAAGTAGTTAACAAGAAATCCTGAACGATTTTGAGCCAAGACATGGCTCAAAATCGTCTGCAATGGCGCAGGTGCATTCATTCTTTGTGTTCTCTCAAATCCCAAACTTTTTAATTCTTCATCACTTTATCTTTATCATTTTAAGTTTGTTTCACTAGATTCTACTTCTTGATTAATATCTTCTAATCCTAACCTCTCCGACTACTGCTAATACCTCTACTACCTCTAACACTATTGGATTTGAATTGACAATTATTATCTCTGTGCTGATGTGGTATGGCAACATGAACTGATGTACGCACGTACGAAGTTCTACGTTGTTATTGATTAATAGAACCTCAGAACTATAAATTTGTTTTCCATGTACTGTTTCAGAACTTTATTTTACGCCTGTTTGTCCATCGAATCTGTGATACTTTCATGCGGTTTGATTGATGCCGATGTTGCGCTAAGCACTAGAGCAGATGTATTACTGATAAGTCGGATACTCATTACACAGTAATTCATCTATTTTTAGATCAGAAAGTTCTATTAAAGGAAGAAGGACCTGAAGTGGGAAACGATGTCCTTTTGTAATTTCCATCTGTGAGCCCACAGATTGTAGTTTGGGTACAATCATGGATAAGTTTTACCAACAATTAAATGGTATTCTTAAGAATGAATGTAACAGATATTAAAGAGTTAGTCGGAGATTCGAATATCCAGAATGAGCGTTTAGGCGTAAAAAGATCGCTTAAGTGGTCACAGGAGACTCGTTGGTAGTAGGCCAGAGATTGATGACCATCTCCTGCAGTGCTATCCGCCAATTGGGCTTGACGCATATATGCATCGGTTTAAGTAGCCATAACACACTAGCACAACGGGATGAAATCGTCATTATAGGCATTACTAATCCAATTTCTTTTTCAGGAATCTTAAAGGAAAATTTTCTTTAATGGTGTAGAGAGAAGGGAAATGAAAACTTTTTTTGTGTCTCTTAAAGCATTTTAAACCAGGATCAAAAGCACCCAATGTACTGTTTTTCAGAGATGTTTTAGTTGGTAGTAAGTAGTTAGTTGTTAAAACAATTCTGATGTTGCAACTCATTTGTATACCTCCGTAAGCCGGGTAGGAAAAGTAACTCAGTGCATAGAATTGCGCAAACATAGTTAATACATTGAATCAAAGTTACTAAATTCTAAAAGAAAATACAGTTCTTTACATATACAAGTCATAATTTAGGCAAGAAGTTAAATAATACACAACTTACATTCTTTGTAGAGTTGAATGCATGTGGATGGCCCACAATAGACAAACCACTATTAACATTCGATTGAGAATGTATAGAATTATTCTGATAATAGTTATAAGATGGATATGAAATGGTTGTTGAGATATGAGGTTGCGAATAATGAGCAAACTGATGATGATTTGATGAATTGGGAATATGTTGCATGGATGGGCTAGGAACCACAACATTTTGATAAAGATGATGTCGACTATCGGTTAAGTTATACTGTTCATTTAAATTTGTCTTGGGCATATGATTTCTAGAGGACTGATAGTATACCGGTTGAGATGATGCACTTAATGACTGTGACGATTGAAAAGTAGTAGTGACAGGTGAAGACAAGACAGACGAAGAAGTATAACATGGATGCATTTTTTGTGGATTGATCAGTATCGTTCAACGACGCTAACTTCGTTTTCTTTGCATTGAACACTAAATAATACAAGGGAAAAGTGATAAGTTTTACATAATAGTAAAGTATTTAGTTAAAACTGTGGTAATCAGTACAGTACAAAATAACTGTCTCAATTTCATAAATAAATGTTACAAAACAGCTCCTAATTTTGAAATTGAATGTAAAAGCAACCGAAAACGACTGAGTTAGAAATACCGAGGCTGGATCCAAAATACTATATAAGGGTGTCAGATTGGTCAATGTAGTTGTGAATCTTTATTGCTTAAGAAACTTTTATTGTTCTTCTGGACATCATCAGCGCAAACTTCAGATAGAAGTGATATATTCGGGTTTCGCTGTGTTTGAATAACAACTCTTGTCGATACTTATTTTAGTTGGTTATTGTTAGTCTTTATTGTACCGCGAGACGAAAGTCACCAGCGGTTAGAAACCTTGAACGACATGGCTCAAAATCGTTTGCAATGGCGCAAGTGCATCCATTCGTTGAGCTCTCTCAAATCCTAATCTTCTGGATTCGTCAGCACCTCTACCTTTGTCTTTCTAACCTTATCTCACTGAATTATATTTCTTGAATAATATCTTCGAACCCTAGTCTTCTTCATTACCATTAATACCCCTACTATCTTTATCACTATGGGATTTGATTTGACATTTGCGTCTCTGTGCTCATGTGGTATGGCAACATGAACTTATGTACATACGTACGAAGTTCTTACGTTGCAACTGACTGGCTGACCGATGCCTACATATTTATTTTCATTGTTGCTCTCTTTGATCTGATTCCTGATCCCATATTTATTTAGGTATTTAATTGGTTGGGAAATTGGATCGATTTGGGCACGCTTATCAACTGCTCATTGATCTGAGTGACAAACTTACAAAAACTACCTGAGGATTATTTGTATTCCGTTTATCCAAAATTTTTACATTTTTCCTGTTGTGTCAACAACCATCTACGTACGTTGATGCATACATCACAGAGGAGGAAGCCTAAATAGTCCAATGTAGCGTTCTTAGTAGTTTACTTTTTTATTTATACGCAAATGTAGTATAAACAGGTATTAAAATATGTATCCATAGCACAATTTGTGTGTGGGTTGGAACACTACCTTGATGCCCAAAGCAAAGTTGTTATTTTTAGAGGGTCATTTCCCAAGCTCGTGACCTACAGATTAAACCACAAGCTAGTAGCGTAATGTTGGTATATTCAGTGCAATGGTAGACGGTGACCAGTAGTAGGTTTATACATAATTTATATTCCCTACATCTTGGAACCTACGGACACCATTGATTTGGCAAATCCTGTTGGTGGATCTTACGTACCCATCAACCCGGTCCAAGCCCTGGTCAAACATTATCTTTTCGTCATCTCGGTTTTTCAAGCAACACCTGTATGGTGATAATATAACAGGTAGGACTTTCTTGTCAGTGGCTATATACGTGTAACCGTATGAGAGCATTTGGTGAGGGAGAACGGACTCTCTACTCTCGGCTGTACCCACGTATTCGGAGGCTTTCTCGCAGTTGGATGTTAATTATGCAGATGATGTTTAACCTCATTATTTCGTCGTCTCATGTTTTGGCTTACCTGACGACCAATATACAATATATATTTTTGCATTACAAGTCTCATAGAAATAATCTTAACGTAGAAGTATGATAGTCCTATTATAGAGGTTGTTCTATAGAAGTTTGACGTTATCAAGGAGCTACTATTTTAAATACATTTTTCATGGTCTTTTTGCGACTACACTGATCTTTATTGAGAAAAACACAATCACGTTTCGATACCATGCAATGTATACAACAATTAATTCATGTAAGCAGTTTGATTCCAGAGCAGCTTTGCTTGCTGCTATCTTTTACTAGAACTGAAGTTTACTCTTGACACCGTTCAATAATCATATGAATTGATTGAGTTGTGTACTTAGGTTTAACAAGAACTGAAAAACCATTCAACGGAATAAGGGGTCCAAAAGAAACGAATGTGAACCTTTATGTCAGATCCAAGACTTAATCTCATTTAATTCTACATCTTTGTCAGCATAAACTCATTAGCAAATACAAATACTCAACGTGTGTTATATTCTAATACCAAATAATAGTAAATTTTACAAGAACACATTTTTCTTTCTATATCCTAAGAGTACAATGATACAGAAAACATACCCTTACCATGTTATCGGGAAACCAGCAAGGTTTACCGAAATGCAACCCAACTGTTGTTACACCCGCCCTGACCTTCACTCTGAGTTTTAGTGTTAAGGTCGGTGGACCTGTGTAAATCCTAGCAGATTGTTTGCTATTGAAGTTAGAGCTTGTCTTTGGAAGTCTTCACTGAGGGACTTGATACCACTTATTCAGGTAAGGCCAGTCGTTGACCACTGAGTGTTGAAAATTGAATCCCAGTCTGAACTAAACCGATCGTGATTTTTGAACCTTCCTGAAGTGTCCTCGGAGATGCTTAGTTACAGAGGTAGTAAAATGGTGTTAGATGTTATTCAAGATGATGAATGTACCAATAAGATCACGGTAAAATTAGGGGAAATGGTTGAGCATTCTAAGAGCCCCTAACTTCGTTCCCACGAGCTGCACACGCTCAAGTCGGTAGAATCGTTGGTCAGGCATGGTCAAGCTGTCTGGTCGCAACACTTAAGTTATGCATAAGTGCATATTCTGGAGCTTGTGTTGTTCAGGAGTTAACAGATTGTGTAGTTCTACCTGACCTTGTTACTTAGCCCGGATTATTTTTTCAAGCAACTTAACTATTATGCTGGTTCATTTTGACGGGGCGGTAGTTAGATGTGTTGTATCTATTGCCATTACATCACCATATTTTGTTCTGTGTTTAGTGTTCGAATACAACTGTTTCGGGCAAGTACGGCTATCGCATGCCGACTGTCTATTGCAAGTGGTGAGGTTTTATGCTAAGGTCTGTTTACATACATGTAGAATCCTTTTAGAATGTTTTGTTTTTTGGAAAATCCCTCCATGTTTACATATTTTTGTTATGACATGACGGAATTTTTCTGTTGACATTTTTGGTATTTTATTTGATTCCAATTTGAGAATTTATCATTGTATATTGTTATTATTTCTATATTTTGTACTTATATTGAAGTTTTTGTGTTTGCTTCTGATCTGTATATATGTTGTTTAAATTTGATCTTTAATATGGCTACGGCCATATTTGGGTTGATACGGTAGCTGTTGGACTTAACGTCACTTATTCATTTTTGTTTTGGATACTCTTCGGAGTAATTGTAACCTGGAAGGTGCATCAATTCCAGGTATTGCTTTGTATTTCCATCCTTTACTATAATACAGACCGTTTTCTCCTAGAATTGTCGTGTTTTCTGGACTTTGAATTGGGAGATACGCGTTCGGATTGTACTTATTGTAAATCATTTGAACTGCTACGGTAGAAATCCATTTACAGTCTGGAATTGTGGCTCAACTTTTGATTAGAAGACCAATTACAGTCGGATTATTAAGAAGAATAAAGAAACATTTGGAAATTTAATCGTTTATAACACTAACTTTCTTGAAAGAAGAATCTTGGATTACTTATCGTATTTTTGTATTCGAACTGTATTTTGGAAGACGATTATTCTGAATTTGGATAATTATTACCTGTGGAATTCCTATATTTTGTATTTGTTATTTATCTTCCGTTGAACTTCACTTAAAATCATCCACCACAAGAAAACAAACACGAGAAGGGTGAAAGAGCTTGAGGGACCCCGAAACGCTAGGCAAGTCGTTAATGATGTTCGTTTAATGGGTTCCTACTTTGTTAATAACGATGTTATGTCTGATACTTATTATTGTAAGTCACCTTTGGCAGGCATTAAGGAACCAGGATTAAGTGAGAGTTCTAAGGTACCAGAGACGGATCAGATGCTTAGGACACCGATAGTAGGCTTAGAACTACCTAAGGTTGAACTTTCATTTTTTGATGGAAAGTCTCGCGACTATTTTAGATTCATGCGTCAAATAGAAACGTTTATAGAATCAAGAGTAAAAGATGACCAAGTGCGTTTATTGTATTTAATTCACTATTGTAAAGGAAGGGCAAAAAATGCGATTGAAGGTTGTATTATAATGGATCCACAAGCGGGATATAAGAGAGCTAAGGCCATTTTAAAACAGCTCTTTGGACAGTCGCATGTAATAGCCCGGGAAACCTTAGAGGACTTATTTAGAACCGGGAATGCAGATTTTAATGATCCTGAAGAGTTGACGAATTCGGCTATTAAAATGCAGAATGCTGCTTTAACCTTAGAACAGCTAAATTGTACAACGGAACTTCATTCCCTGGTTACTTTAGAACGAATAGTCAGGCTCTTACCTCGTCGAATGCAAGCCCAGTGGGCAGAGCTGGGAATCAAGTGGGAAGAAGAGGAGAGAGAGCCTAATTTCAATGATTTGACGGAATTTATTATGTCTCGTGCTAAGATAGCTAGTAGTAGGTTCGGAAGATTAGCTTATCGGGCTAAAACAGGACATAATACGGAAGCTACTAGTGGTCTGCGTGCGAGACATGAGGATTTTTCGTTTCTACCTAACGCACGCCCGGAAGATAAGAGAGTTGTCAATTATATCGGGTTGAAAGCTGTTGAAGGCCGAGTATGTGACCGTGACGATGTAAAACCTCCTGATGCGTATCCCAGTAAGAAGCCGGTTGGTGTAACAGATAAGATGGCTTTTCTAAGTATGGAGAAGAAAGAAAAAGGTGAAAAGTGTAGGCATCAAGATGGATCCGAAGTGTGTGATGACAAAAGCCTTTTAGCTGCTCGAAAAGCCTGGAACGGTTATTTGGATTCGAGTAAACATAGGTTAGTGAGTTCAGTAAATATGACTAAATATGGCTACAGCCATATTTGGGTTGATACGGTAGCTGTTGGACTTAACGTCACTTATTCATTTTTGTTTTGGATACTCTTCGGAGTAATTGTAACCTGGAAGGTGCATCAATT